TTTGACAAATGATATTTTAGAGACTTTAGTGTAACACTTGAAATTCTATTTTAGAGCATAATGATAGCAAATGTTGGATTTATGCAGTCTCCTTCTAAATAGCCTGGACAAATAATGAATACTATTGTACAGAATAAGAGATATATAATTGGTTGACCACTCTACACCTGATACCAGACAGGTAGAACATAAACATAATCCCAGGTGCAGTTTCTCAATGTGAAATAATGTTTAAACAACCATGTGGAAAGGGTGTACGTTATGAAGCAAACATGAAAAGCAAGCAGGTTCCAAGGCAGAGTTGCTTGTTACCCTAGCCTGTCCTTCTATTACATGCTTTCATCTCCATTTTAATGGCACATTTTTAGTTTCCAAAGAGTAAAATTAGCTTTCTGGCAGGCGTAAGGATAAGACATTCTGATTTGGTATTTTTACCTCATTAATATGAAGATTAAAATGTGCCCTGGAATTATACTAACCCAAATGGACTAATAATTATTAGACTATATTGACACTAGCAGGCATATCCATAGGAATAAAAATAATCAAATAATCAACAGATCTTGTAGTCATTGTAACAAGTTCTAGTTATTACGTTTGCAATTTGAACATGACTGGGCTGGGAATACTAAAGGCACTAAAGGAAATCAAGGCAAACCTTAAAGTGTTCAAGAACATCATATGGTTAGCTGGGCAGCTTTTGCTTAAGCTTAGTGATCTGGTAAAGGATCAGATAACCAAGTGGGGTTGCCTATTTGTAGGTCAAATGGTTTCTGAAAATGAGCTTCAACGCTGTCATGATTTGATATATTATTCATGTGTTTTCTATCAGTGTAAGAATAATTATTCTTATTTTCCAAATCAGCCATGAAGTGTTGTGTATAACACATATTGTTATAAATAACCGTATTTAATGTTCAAAGAGCCTTCTTAACCTGTACAGGCTAACTGGGATAAGATATTCTTTTAAAACTCTGAACCCCAGTGATTTACCTCCAATACTAATTGACAGTTTTTATATAACATTTCTATTCTAATTAGATAAAGAGAATATGACAGCCTCTTCATGACATATCTTGTAGGACTATATAATATAAAGCTTACATACCCCCCTTTAATCAGACATTGGGAGTTATAGAAATTTAATTGAATCTCTCTGCGGAGTTCAAGTAAAATAAATGAAACATAGCCTACCTTCACGACACTGGAAGAGTAATAGGGCAGGCACATACCCCTTGGATAAGAAGTTCCTTGTGCATTTGTGTAGAGCCATTTCCCACTATAAACAAGATACAAATGCACTGCTCGATCAATGTTAGTAGCTTAATTAACATAGACCTTGAATTACAGTGAACTACCACAATGCCCATGCTTTTTCATTGGGTTATTATGAAAGATTTGTCTTATTTCTGAAGTCCTGGAATTGAGGTTGATTTTTGTTGGTCACAAGTTCATTTTAAACCAGTGGTATATTGTTGACCCCAGTTCACTTAATGCAATCCTAGCTGAAATTATAAAAAGAATTTTTCTTAAATAAATAACTAGTAGTCTCTCATCTTACTTGACTTCAGTCTACCTTGTTTTCATCTCTTCATTAAATATTTGAAAGACATAAATAACTGTTCAGAGGGAAAGGAAATCATGAATGGCCTCAACGCTGACTTGTGTAACCCACCTACTGCTCTCCAGTTGATTCTCACTCAAGGCAACCCCATATAGTCCACAGTAGAACTGTCCCATAGCATTTTCCTGGCAGCAATCTTTAAGGACTCAGATCGCCTACTCTTTCTTTTCTGGCACCTGTGCTTGGGTTCATTTTGTGGAACCTGTGCATGGGTTCAAACAGCCAACCTTTAGGTTAGCAGTGATTGCACATTGCATGCACCACCTAGGTTACTCTAACTTTACAAAGGACCTAAATAAATAAATATGCCCACAAATAAATAAAGTAGTCCTTTGAATGAATGGCATCAACATTATGTCTAATTAGTTGCTGTTGATATTTTTAAAAATCATTTTTTGGGGGGCTCATACAACTCTCATCACAATCCATACATCCATCCATTGTATGTCAAGCACATTTGTACATTTGTTGCCATCATCATTCTCAAAACATGGCTTTCTACTTAAGCCCTTAGTATCAGC